TCCAGGCCGGTGCTGCATATTTAAGTGTTGATCTGTGATCCCAATTTAGGGAACAGTTGCAAGCATACAGATTACACTCCCGAAAAATATCGTCTTAACTGTAAAAACACGTACTTATATATTTAAACACTATTAGAATGTAGTTATAGTTTAAGTCATTAGGGGCATCCCCCCATTCCCAGGACGCTCAAGACGCCAACAGTGGCGTTGGACGAGGCTTCAGTAGGCTAGGAGCTCACGATAATTTGGGCTAAGGTTCCAGAACTGTGTAGTTAGGTCAGTTCACATCATCACCAGGTCTTCCATTCAATATTTAGCTTAAATCATTTATCCCTAGCTTATAGTAATTTAATATGAATGAATATAATTATACAGAGCATTCGTAATATCCTATTATTTATACAGAGAGGAAACAGTTATCTGACTGGTGGAGTTAATGCGTTTAGTGGAAGTCTTATAAATACTGTCAACAACGGCGGCCCACCCCATAATGTTCCGTCAACAGTGGTCCCCACTCCACGACATTCCGTCAACAGTGGCTCCCACCCCACTACATTCCGTCAACAGTGGAGGCCACCTCAAAACATTCCGTCAACAGTGGAGGCCACCTCAAAACATTCCGTCAACAGTGGAGGCCACTTCAAAACGTTCCGTCAACCATGGCAGCTACCTCAAAACGTTCAACAGACTAATAATAATAATCAGCGCCAGCTTTTCTATGATCATGTAATACCCGTATCTCTCCCTGGACAGATGTAATAGGACCCCATAATCACCACACCAGAAATATATCTCGCTTTGATATCCCAGAGTCAAATTTAATCTGTGTAAACTGTTGGCATTCTTTCTAAGATCAGATATTATGTATCCCGCCATGCCCTGGTGACGCGATATTACTCCCTCATCTATCCCGAAATGCCCGAAATGCTTTGCGTAATTAGTGGCTTTAGGCATTGTATGTACTAGCCCTATCTATAAATCCATCACTCTTTGTAAAATCTCTTGTATGTATGTACCTTACCTAAATAAACATTTGATTTGATTTGATTTGATCCATATCTCAACTATGGTATTTGTGCTTGGGGTTCTACTACCCAAAATCATTTACGTCCTCTAATTACTCAACACAAAGCTGCCATTAGGACAATATTCAACATCATGCCCCAGACATCACTCGGTACCCCTACTCAAATCTCTGAATATGTTAGACATTAAGTCACTGCATATTCTCTCATGTGTATTATACATATATAAAACGCTGAACTGTAATGCCAATCCTGACCTCAAAAGCTTCATTGAAGGTTGTAACAGAACCCATGAGCACCACACCAGAAACAAATACAGTTTTGATTTGAAGGAGCAGGGGCAAACCACAGCAGGGGAAAGACGAGGGGGCGCCGACAAAACCAAAGCAGCAGGGAAAAGATGAGGGGGCGAGGATGAAACCAAAATCGAACTAACGCCCCCTCAAGTTCGAGTTGCTATAATCAAAGCGGGGCAGCCGCGGGGCATCAGGAAAGGCAACCAACCTAGCACGTTGCACCAACTGAAACCGTGCATGCAACGACGATGCTGCCTGCACCCTAGTATCAGAATCAGTGGACTGGGTGAATTGGAACTAGCAAGGAACACCACTCACAGGATTCTGGGTCGAAGGTGTCACCGACCCAACAAGCAGCATGACATACGCAAAACCAGTGAATGGTACCCTGCGATAAGGGAACAGAGCATCCTTCAAACTCGCACATGGCGAGATGGGACCCAGAGGACGCATCCATTGGATCAATGAGCCCCAATGGGGTTTTCCAGGGTCCTTAGGCTGACTGCTAAGGGAAGCCCAGGTAAGGTACTGCTAACTGGTTGGCCCAAACTACCAAAAGATCAATTAAAAGCTGAATACATGTGACATGTACTATCACGGGGACCTAGCGGGGAGCCACCAGAATAACAAAGGGTGGACAATCAAGGGGGAAATGCCCCATTAGGCAACAAACAAAAAGAAAAAGAAAACCCCCGCAAAAGTACAACATCTCCAGTAGGAACAAAACCAGCCACTGTGTAATAGGTGACAAGCTGCAGTACAGTACCTTGCCAGTACCAAGTACCTTCACAGTACCAGCGACGATACTACCTCATACTCAAGGTCAAACAGCAGAAATGAAAACAAAAACTAAGGGAAGGCAATCACCCAGCAGCAAAAGATCCCCATGGAGGTAGTTCCCGAATGACTTGTAGAAGGCAACCCTCAAGCTGCAAGAGCAGTACCTACAGAGCACCTAGTGAAGGCGGCCCAGGCGCATGCAGCCCCTAGTATTCCGTGAATTACTCCTGGCTCGCACACCACCACACAGCAGAACACCACCACAAAGGTACAGCACTGCTCAGAGACAGGAGCCAGAGTTGAACAACCCCACGCAACACATCAGCCTCGAAACTGAGGTTGAGATGGCTGGCACGAGGGGTATGAGGCTCCCCCTACCCCCTCCCGGAGGGGGGGGGGGGGGAAACTGCACAGACAGCGGCGTGGTGGCGGTTGTAACATCATGCTTGTTTCCTGTTTCTTTGTTTTCAGATTGTGGCGTTCAGCTTGATAGTTCGATTTTCGGTAGCAATTTTAACCAGGTGGAGTTTGTTTTGAGACGCCTACCTTCCAAACTTAATCTGTGTTAACACTCTATGCAAATAAAGGGACCTAGTCTATGGAACTCACTCCCCAACAAATTGAAAAGCTGTCCAATTTTTGCCTTGTTCAAAAATAAATCCAAAAAGTACCTAATTTCATCTTCATAGTTTCCTACCTAGTGCTTTAAACTCGCACTGTATCTAGTGCTACCCAATCCCTCAATATATGTACCTAAGCCATACAACTTTACCAATGTAATCATTTCTATCACCTTATATCATGGTTGTTAAATTGAATGTACAGTATATTTTACTGCATTATACCTTGAAATAATCCTCAAATTATGCTACAACATACCTATTGATAACTCTCAAATTTTATTTTACTTTTATGCATGTACCTATTAATCTTTGTCAAATTTTCTTACAATGTACCTGTAAACTTTTTTTTTCAATTTTGCTAGAATTTACCTACTTAAAATTATCTGTTAGATTAAGGACTTGCCTTTTACACTATGCGTGCTAGTGGCTTTACAAGGATGTAAAAACATCAATGCTATGTACTGTACTCTCATAAACCCAATATATCTTCTTGTACATAAATAAAGTCACTACACATCCTCTCAAGTGTACTCTATATATATAAAATGCTGAACTGTAATGCCAATCCTGGCCTTAAACACTTCCTAGAATGTTATAACAGAACCGGGCAATGGGCACCACACTAGAAACAAATACCTACTTGATATTCCAAGAGTGCGACTTTAGCAAACTAGAAACGTCTGCAAATCAAAGGACCTAGAATGCAGAATTACCTCCAATCATGTCAAAGGCTGTATCTCTCTCAACCAGTTTAAGAGAAAAACTAAGTTCTACCTAATAAACTCCATGTAACCTACCTTCCCTCCTAAATGTCAACCTACGTCTTGCTATTTTCAAACAATACTGATTATTGACCAACTTGTTTAACTACTGATATCTGGCATGTATAAACTTAAACAAAATTTCAATTCAATTTATGATTTTGATTTCAATTAGTACCCTGTATTAGGTTTTAGTCTAAGTTTTTTCCCACACCGTGCCTGAAACGCTGTGCATATTAGGGGCTTCAGGCATTGTATGTACTAGCTCTATCTATAAATCCAACATTGTTTGTAACTAATTTTCAGTGTTTGTACCTTTACTTGAATAAACATCTTATCTTACACAGTATAAGAACATGTTGTACTGAACTAGGTGAAAATAGCTTGAGCTACCTCCTCACTTTGTGTATATTTATACCTAAATAAACTTGTTTTATTTTAAATTTCAATGTACCTATTAATAATTATGTTAGATTGAGGACCTGCCTGAAACACTGTGTATTAGTGGCTTTGCAAGAATGTAAAAACCACAATGTTATGTAATCTCACAAATCCAATGTACCTTTTTGTATATACTATATGCAAATAAATAAATAAATAAATATAATTATTATTATTATTATCATGGAATACATTCTATGTTTTCATAAGACCCATAATAAAATATTGCATTGTGTAGCTCATCTTTGGACACAGGATTTCGTAGAATGCATTTACCCAGGTACTGAGTGCATTCCCGTGAACAACAGAGAAATTATTGTACAATGACGGTGAATAGTCCAGCATACTAATACTGTGCAGTATACTAATGTATATACGTCACCTTATAGTATTCCTAAGTTAGGGACAGGCAGGAAGCCTGTTATGACTTATTGAGGTCCCACAATGCAATCTATTGATTGTCTAACCAACTCCACAGCAGTTGCCAAACTCCTCAGTACCTATGTGCTGCTAAGTGAACAGATACATCAGGTGAAGGTAAACATTGGCCAGCTATTTCTATCATGGCCGGGTATCAAACCCAGGGTCCTCAAGATGTGAGCCAAATAAATGTGAGTCAAATAAAATTAAGAAAATTACACATGTCATGTATATTACATACTGTATATACAGTACAATACATATTTAATAATAATTCTCTGTGTCGGGGGACAGGAAGCCAAAGTTTTGTCATACACGTTAGACTTATATCGAGGTCCCCCCCCCCTTCCATGGCCTAATTACTAATCCTGCCCAGGATGCAACCCCCACAACAAGCTGACTAATTCCTGAGTACCTACTCACTACTAGGTGAACAGGGCCATTAGGTGAAAGGAAATGTGCCCAAGCATTTCTGTCCTGCCCGGGATTCAAATTGGAAAATCTCGATTGTGTGTCGAGAATGAACCTGACTGTACTGTACTACCGAGACCCCCTTTTTCTTTATACATCTGAAGATTGGCTATCTTAATGAATAATATAAGATTGCATTATTATTCTTTAAATCTATCTTCATGGAGAATTAAACAAATAACATAATATTTTATGGTGATATTTATGTATCGGTTTAATGTGTTACATTCTGTATTCTTGTTACCAAAAATAGTTTTTACAATATTTAGTTTGATTCCAGAACTTCCACCAAATGAGATGGATCCACTACCTTCAACTGATCATCTAAATTTGCACTGTAATTCGAGATCAACTTAAAACACACATTGTCAGCACCGTTGATTTTTGGTACAGTAATTTCAAGTCAAATAATTTTTTGGGGAAAATATCATTGTATATTTTACTATTTATCTATGAATACTGTATATACAGCAACATATTTGTCATGGTTATTAATAAGAGAGGCAAGTTGGTCATCGTTAAGAAATAATGGCAACTATAAAATAGCACTACATTTAGCACTATGTTTTGTGTAACCAAATTTATACAATATAATCAGACATAACTTTATCAATGATATTATATTAAGAGCTAGATGAACAGTAAATATAGTATTTAATATAAAAAATAAAACAAAGTTCCAATAATGAACATAAATATAGTGTAATGTACTGTGCCAAAAATTATGTAAAAATGTTAAAATAACAGTTTGTTTTAAATATTGGTGGGTCCTTGGTGCTTGCTATCTGGAAAGCCCAACTCAGTTCAGTCCACCTAAGGCCTTTGTGAGTCACTGTACACCTACCAGGGACCAAAGGCCAAAACCTGGCCCCCTCTCTAATGAGGTACTGTACAAGAAATAGGGGATCTTAGATCACCCTAACCAAGAAAAGGCCTCCAGAAAGATGGGTGGAGCAAAACATACAAACAACATGGTAAACAATGCAAGGAAAATTATAAAATGAAGCCCAGAGAAGAATGAATCACCTGATTGTAATAGAGTTCTCTCATTAGTTCCACCTTCTCAACTTCCTCCTCAATCATCTAGCCTTGAACATTTAGTCAGGGTATGGAAAAAACTGAAGCCCCTGAACAGATAAGGTAATGTCCCAAGGAGGCACCAAGGATCCACCAGAAAAAATTTCATTTCAGTAAAGTCTCTTCACAGCCTCTGGGCAGAAAAGATTTAAGGTCACGTGCTCTGCTCCTCCAGTAGTGTGGCCACACCCTCAAACATTGAATATGATCTCTTGTCAAAAATGCTCACTCACTGTGCCCCAACATACATAGAGTCCCTCACACAACAAGCGAAGTAAACCTTGCCAGCAATGCCTTAATAGGGTTTCTTAGAAGAAATTGGGAGCTTGTGTGTGAGGGTGGCAAACCTCAAATAAGCTAGCTAGTGTGTCCGAGCCAGCATTCTAGGCAGCTCTTGGACAATAGGCAGGAACAGTAATGAGTACAATATAGGACTTTCAGGAGATGGATGATGATTTGCTTGTTTGTTTTTTGGGGGAGTTCTTTGGCTCTGTTTTGACGTAAGTTGTAAGTTTTACCAGTTGGAGGTTTGTATTGTTTCACCTACCTTTCTGGTGGTATCCCTGGTCGATGGCAGACATGACAAACTGTAAATGAAGAGTGGCTGTTGTTCCCTGTGCCTTTGAGTGGACCAGGTTCTGGCTCTGGTCTTTGGTAGGCACAGAACTCCAGGGACTGATGACACCAAATTAATATGGCACATGTCAGTTTGGATAGCTTCAGTGAGCCGACGGGGCTTCCCACAGAAATATCAATACCGTATTATGTAATCTCACAAACTCTTTGTACCTTCTAAATAAATCAATAAAGGTCCCCTGTTCATTGTGCTTCTTTAGAGGGGTTTTAGCCTCTGGTCCCCACTACACCCACTGTAGTAGCACTACAGTGACTCACAAGGGCCTGGTGTGGATTGAATTGGGTGGAGGGTTCTGAGCAGCAAGCACAAAGGAGGCACCAATAGGAGCCCTCCATATAATGGACATTATGGCTAAATTGCTGCAGGTAACCCTAGATTAAAGTCCCTGATTTCATGATATCTGCAATTTTTCCTGGAATAAACTGTCAAGTTAATTTATTTTGAACGTTTCATAAGCTTAACCATAAAGCGTTTGTGTGATGCAGTCGTCATTTATTCAAACCACCAGGTCCAGATGATGACTGCAATCGTCATTTTGAATGTCATGTTGGCTAACTCGCCTTCTTGTTATTTTATTTTGTTTATATTGCATTTCTGAAAAATACTGTCATAAGTACAACTCTTTAGCTTAAAAATACCAAATTGAACACTTTACCATGCATAGTAACTTTGCAGTATGGGATTGAATTAAAATATCGCTAAAGTAATTTGCACTTGGCCCAAGACACTGTTGGCACCCAAAATTGTTAAGGGAGCAAAAATGGATTAGGGTTAATGTACATTTAAATACATTAGCTTAGTACAGTATATACTGCATATGAAATTGCAAATACTTGTGCAAGAATTGTATATAGTTTTATTTAATAAAAGAGAAAATAAAAAATATTTAATAAATGAAAATACTGTACAGTATTAATATTCATTACTTTGAGATTTTAACTGTTCAAAGTTTTTTTTTTTACCAAGGCCTAAGCAATACAAATCAAACTAGCAGTTTATTTTCCAATGGATTGGAACCTATTCCGAGCCAGGTCATACACACTGCATGTACTGTATATACTGTACTGAACTGATAGTATAATAAGGGTCCATATAAATTACCATGGATTTGAATACTCACTCCTGAAACCTGAGACCTGTACTCTTACTTGTGTTTAAACTCAAGGAACTCATTTGTTAATCATGAAAGAAAAGGTTTTGTACTATCATATTAGAGCATGCTCTTAAACTGTAAAATGCCTATTCATGATACAGTATATTGTTTACATGTTGTACTCAGATGAAATGAAGGCTGGACGGAGTTTGTTGATCTCTCTCATAATTAGTTACTTTAGGGCAGGCACAGAATGCCTGGATACAAAAACTATTTAAAACTGTTTTATTGACCTATTTTCCACTCCATACATGAACTGAACAGCTGTGTTAATCATCTCATTGTCTAGAATAAAAAGTTGGCATAAGACTAAATTGACCATTACTGTATTATGCTGATGCTGTTAACTAATATTTAAAAAGAACAAAGGACAGTTTTCCAAGGTTCTCATCAGTAAATGATAATGTTGTAGATATATGATAAATATTGAACATATATGTTGAATATGTGTTGCACAGGGCCCTGCAAGAGCTGAACATCAATCTCTCATGCACAGTGGAGTTAGCTGTGCATAAATACTGATCACTTGTCCTTGCCACTTATCATCATCAATTCTATTGCCTCAAGTAAGGAAACATAATTAGGATACCTCATTAAGTTAATTCACTACACTATTGTTTTAATCTTCGACTCCTTGTGTTAATCATACCTGCCAAATGTACTAGTGGGCTGACCTTCAGCATTTTACATAAGTCCCTTATCTCCTTGGCTAGTGTTCCAAATTATCATTTATCCCTTCCTGGGCAAATCTACGTCAATTAATTATCACGTAAGTGTCCAGCATTTATTATTACATTTGTTCCCCCTCCCCAGCTGCTGTGAAAACTAAGAGGTTGAGAGTCATTTGAGCTGTAAGAGCCATGACTCTCTTCAAAGCATTCCCTATGCAGTGCATACAAATAGCAAGTAGGATATTAAGCTCTACTTTCCCTTCTCTCACTCCAGGTTCCCTGCATCCAAAATTATATAAAATGAATTAAAATCAAGTGGTGGCAGCCTCAGTGTCTATATGACACCATGGTGTTGCTTAAGTGGGGCTATATGTAGGCAGTAACAGCAATACCTATCTATTATGTTCTCTCTCCCCTTTGTCTCAGTTTCTTCTCCCCTCTCTGCCACTTTCTCATTCTCTCTCTCCCTCTCTCATACTTTCCCTATATCTTTTCCCTTTCTCGCTCTTTCTATAAGCTTACTTCACATATGATAGTTTAACTTAGCTTAGAAAAAATAAGTTGCTAATAAAATTCAAAGTTGTTTGCAGTGTACACAAGTTAATCTTGTGTTGCCAATATGTAACCAAGCCAGATACATTTTCCACTTCCTGTTCCAGTAACAGGTGGAAGGCCACAGGAAAAGGTGACAGTTAAGACTACATAGTTATTTATTGTTTAGAATAGCTAACAATCTGTTTTTTCCAACAGTTACAGATTGTTCTACGAATGACAGGGAAGAAATCTCAGTAAAGAATTCATTTCTGGGAGATGCAACATGCATGAGCAGCTTCCTTAGCAGTTGTGTTTGTGAGATCATTGGAGGCCACACCAATATGACTAGGAACCCAGCAAAACTTATTTTCCTAATATCTACTAAAGATGAGGATTTTCCTAATATCTACTAAAGATGAGGATTTTCCTAATATCTACTAAAGATGAGGATTTTCCTAATATCTACTAAAGATGAGGAATAACCAATATTGATTTCGATCACAACATGATGCAAAGAGTTAAAGGACTCCAAAACCACTGCAAGAGTCAACTACAACAAGAAATGATCATTTGGCACATGAAAAGTAACTGTCTTAAAGCACATAAAATTCCACATATGATGCAGTGTAGAGATGACGAAGGATCAAGGGCAAAGTTGATGAATACACAGGGAATTCGCAGATAGTTTAGACAGTATTAGGGGAAGAGTGCAAATGAAAAAGAATTCATTTATCTGCACCTGAAGGTGGAATATGACAAGACTGACTAAGGTAAAAAGCGTTGGAGCATTCAGTTTGCAGGTAATGGACAGGGGATGACAAAAACTGGCAGGCAATAAAGATCAGCCGAAAGAGTTTTATATGATCCTCATATAAGAGTTCATTCCTTAGACAGTCAGGGGCATACAGTGGATGATGTGTTTCTTAGTAAAAGTAATAGAAGTTATCATAGTTGAGAACTTAAAGCTGTGCCCAGTAGCCCAAGGCTACATAGTGTACAGTACACCATGTAGCCATTACTGTATGGAAAAACTAGTAATACAAGAAAAATGAATTGGTCATCAACATACAGCATGGACTAGACCACACTGAAAGAATTTGTTTATTAAAAGCAAGAAATGAAGAATTATGGTTTGCTCAATTTCTTTTGGCACAATTGTACTCTTTAAACAGTAAACTAAGTGCCATGTGTACCCACATCATCATTTGGTATTCAATAAACTAAAGACACCAGCTGTTGGTTATTACCTACAATACTATTATGGTACAAATACTGTCTTTGTTAATATTAATTTAGTGTTACCTTAAAGCAAAATGGCTAAAGACTAAAATTGTTATGAAGAAAGTGCTATGTCTGGAGTAGGGAAGTTCAGATAACATTCAGTTCTGTTTGGAGCGCAGTATTCTATGAATTAAGCCCAACTTGGACTTGGTTTTTGTTCCACACTGCCGTCAGTAACTTGTGCTTCCTACATTGCACCAAAAGTTTTGCTTTTCCTCCATGTATAAAGGCTGGATGCCATAACAATATATCCTTGATCAGATGGATAAATACAACAAAGAATCCACTCAACTATGGGTCACCTGTATACTTCGGAAAGAATAACAAAACACAAATACAGTAATATGAAAAAGCGTATAAAATATTTGTTAAGATACTAAAACAAATCCAGGACAGTACTGGTTTCCAAAGCCATTGAGAAATGGCCTCCCTTATGTAAAGATAGGACAATATCAAATGTAGCACAAGACAGGAATAAATCTCATAACATTGTGTGGTGGTGGTTCTGGGAATGTTCACCACACCACCTGTCAAGGAAGTTTACACCCAGTACAAGTCTTTGGTTAGTAACATGGCCAAATTTCAGGCACAATTATCTAGAGTAACCTGTTTACAATTTTAGTAAAAATTAGTTTGTTACAGTACTAAATAATGCCTGAGAAATGCCACCATATTTTTAGTATTCAATATAAAAATGACAAAACACATATAGTACATACACATTGGTAATAATACTCACTATGACTAAAACACTAAGTTGCTTAACCTTATGCAGTAAAGTAATATGATAAATTAGCATTTAAAATGTGCCTGATTTACTAAAAGAACAATCATCATAGCACCATCACAGTAAAAGTATACATTACACAAACTTAACAAAATCACTGCAGAACACTACCAGTGAAAAAATTATACATACACTTAATTTGTTTAATAAATATTTGAATCTATTATAAAGCAAGAAAACTTAGTAAACCAAAGTACAATTACTTAACAGTTTATTAAGTGTAAGTATGTACTGAAACATTGTCATAGTTGATTCTAGATTTTAACCTTATGAGAAATAACACAATGAAAAATGACCTAACAACACTTCCATACGGCTATAGCCAGATTTCCAGCGAAAAACATATAAAGGAGATTCTTGACTTCATACGACACTTCAAAACCAAATGCTTCACCAACAACACAGTGCCAAGTTGCGCCATATCGTTTGTCCATGGTCTCCTTGATTACACGTGCTGCACTCTGACAATCCAGAAATAGTACTGTAACATTAAGACCATTTCTTAACAGGAAAAGGAAATATCCAGTCACACATGTGCAACTAAGAATCATAGGACATTACTGTTAATAGCTACCATATGATATATTTACTTAAGAATCACTTCATTATACTGTACTGTATTTTATATGAAGACCAAAACACCTAAAACATGCATTCTTCTCCACTACTTATGGAGATACTGTTAGTACAAGGAAAAGATAAAGAAATTGTATCGTGGTCTCTACAACAACAAGTTTTTGTTTTTGTCATGATGGTAACTGCCTTCTTGGAATTATGCCCAAGCTCACTAAAGTAGCATGCATATTCTTTCTATATTTTAATCTATTTTTAGAAGCTGTAACTTTATGTTGTTAACCCTGTGTACAAAATGTATTTCTTGTAATACCTAACATACATATTTTGTTTTGACATTTACATACTTGGTTATTCAGAAGATTGTTTATCCTTAAATGGAATTTTAGTGTTCAAATTTAAACAATGATAATGTGGGTTTAACAATGTAACTAATGCTCAAAACCTCTGCTCAAAATCAATAACCACATGATCAATAATTATAAATATAAAAACATTACAATATTAGGTGCTTTTATCACTATTAGCAAACATTGTTCATACACTGATATCAATTATGTATACCAGGAGTGGCCAAATTTGCTTACTATAAGAGCCCCAAATGATAAAGCTTAAATGTTTGAGGGCCGCTGGACATGAACAAAATTTACAATTACATTTTTTATTGTTACATACACATTTTGTTACAAAAATTTTACATAAATTTAATAAAAGCCAGTGTAGAAAGTAATGAAATGCCAGTTTCTGGGCGAGCCCCGGAGGCTCCCTGAAGCTATCTTAACGATCAAGTGCCATATTACTCAAGTGTCATCAGTACTTACTTCATTATTTGTTTGGTGTTTCTCACAGGCAGTCACTATAAGTTCCATTGTCTCTGTCTTCATCTCCTCTGACATGTCAGTATGCTGAAAGGAGGTTGAAATTGGTAATTTAGACTATTTCTGTCTGAAGTATGTTACACCCTGAACATACTAGTGATTTCTCTTACACCCACACTCCCCGATGGTACCCCGCCACCCTAGACCACACTAGTGTACAGTACTGACACTCCCCGATAGTACCCCGCCACCCTAGCCCACATCAGTGTAGAGTACTGACACACTTACCCGCAGCAGAGGATAAGTGTGAACAATCTTCTTGGTGTCATCTACACTCTCCTGCTTCCTGAGCTCGGCCATCTGGAGAAGCCAGCGCGGGTTGTGCTGGGTGAGAGGAGGGGCGGCCACAGGAGCTGTGGTTGCTAGCGACGCCGTCCCCCGTTGCCAGGGATGTACTACTCGCCTACTTGTATTTCCCCTGGGACCAGCCTCTGGCTGTAACATACGATTTTAGGTGATAACATTCAAAGAGTGCAGCCGTTTTTTTTTATGTTTATTGAATATAGTCGTGGTTACAGCACTTGTATGTTGGAAATGAAATGTTGTTGATTTAGGGGCGACGACGACCGTGGGACGGGATGCGCCCCGGCGGACCCGTGATGGGTTAATCACGAAGACTGGAAAGGTGAAACGCCAAGCCTAATCGCGAAACGAGTGACGCCAATTACTGTAAACTAAGATGCCTCGCGGCAAAGAAACTCTGACAGGCAGATGATTGGGGAGCCGAAGTGTGACAAGCACCGGCCCCGCCCCACACAGAGAATACCAGGTAGCAAAACCAAAAACTCGGCCCCCAACTAAAACGCAAAAGTCATCCAGTGTCCCCGGCACAGCAGAAGCCGGTCGCCCACCACGGCTGAGGGCACACCAGGAGCCCGCCAAGACCCGGCACCTCTCGGGCAAGCCGGCCCCCGAACACCGTCACCCCGCTGGGATAGTAAGTAATTATCAAAAGGAGGCACCAAACCGGGAAGGCTGTGTAGCACCACCAAATGTGCGGAATAATTAGTTGCGCTAAATATCACCAAGGATGCCAATATGAGAACAGAAGCGCATAAGGCGAACGATAACAAAAGTATCCGATTCACCAAGAATTCTATTGAGGGACAATTGACCGCGAAGGACGGTCGGAAAGCAAGACACGCTCGTCCTGGAAGTCAGGACATTCAACAAGAATGTGCACAACTGTGAGAGGAACAGTGCAATTTGGACAATAAGGAGCAGGGCGGCGCTCCATTAAGTGACCGTGAGTTAAACGCATATGGCCAATACGTAACCTAGCCAGAGCCGTTTCCCATCGCCGATTACGGTGGTAGGAGGAAGGCCACAGGGACACACGACCCTTAAAAGTATGCAGTTTGTTACCAATAATAGAAGACCAACAACCCTGCCAACGAGCAAGGATGGAGGAATGATTAACTGGGTAAAAGGCAGAATACAGAATACCTTTACGGGAGATGGGACAAGTGCGCAGAGCTTCCTTAGCAGCAGCATCCGCACGCTCATTTAAAGAGACGCCAACATAGCTGGGAACCCAGCAAAACTCTACCGACCAAACTAAGGTGTACCAATACAAGTGCAATTCTGGAGACTGCTCTCAGAAATGCATGCTATATTGGGTATACCATGAATACTCAAGAGTAGACATCTTCACTTCATTTGCAAAAAGGCAGTATTAAGCAACATAACTTAACACAACACCATCCTGAATTGCTAGGACATAGTGAAGGACACACCAACGATTGTAGGCGGCTCAGTATACAGTACTTGAGGCTGTGTTCATTTGGGGGCTGACACCAGTAATCAATATTCCGGCGAATTCCACTTCCAGCACAGTTATTTGATGGTCCTCCAATAATCCAGTGAGAAGATAGCAGAATTGGGAGAACTAATTGACGGAGCTAGGCAGCAATCACCTCGCCCCATTCTTTAATGCTCTCTACGATTAAGGTGGTTAAGTGAATCGAAGGGCGAGGTGAATCCTCCCTTACGTCAATGTTTTTGCATGTAAGCTTAGTATACTTGTGTGTCAGTGCAGGGTGTAGTTCTAAAGATGTCACATAGTTGAAACATTGAACAATAAAATTAATCACTAGATTAAGTGATCAAGTGTTTCTTCACCCTCTAGATGGTAGGTATTTACTTAGAATGGAAAATATCAATTAGAGAAATGCTGTCGTGTTTTATTACATGTATGAATATAGATATTTTTTTCACGTGAAATGAATATATAAACACGAGATGTTTTAGAGCATGTGGACCACATGGGCAAGGGAGAGCTACCAGCCCATGCACTCACCCAAATATGATTATAGAAAAAAGGACAATGTACTGTAAATACTTAATGACGACACTGTGCCAAAGTGTTGCACATGTATAGGTTATTTAGAGACTTGTTTTACTATGTTTTGATGCCTTGTATTTTTTGCCAATTTTGGTCCCTTAAGTTTTAAAGGATCATTAATGAGGAGTTGCAAAGCAAGGCTACTATTGTGCAATAGACATTGGACTTACTGCATAGTAAAATAATTTTCTTTAAGCAGGCAGAAAAAGTTTTAGGAAGACAACGAATAAAAATACTGTACTCTGAAGTGAAATGATAAGCATTTATTAGCAATGTCTGGTGCACAGTAAAAGTTTCAAAGCATGAAAAGATGAACTTGTGCAAGTTTTGTTCCAGGTAGTCAATTGAACACATGCCAAGTCGGGGAAAACCAAGGTGGGCATTATGCTGCAGCCTGATGATAGTAACCAGGGAAGCTAACTCGTAGGTAGCAAGAGCCCTCTCTTTGATAGCTGTAGCTATGTTGCCACTGAAGGGTTTTGAGTGTTTATGAATTTAACTTGGTTGGTCATTCTGGGCTAGATTTAAATTAACATTCAAAGGTGACTATCTTACATCTAAAATGATCTTCCAGGGACAATTTCAAAGATTTCCTGGTGTTATAACCACATTAAAATTGAGGACACTTCTAGAACCACTATATATACTATTACTTCCAGGACATTACTACAAAATTCTTGTTCTACATTGTACATTCACTGTTTACGATCGTTATATTTTCCATACCTTTGCCTTTGTTTTTTTATTTTTTCCTTACTAAAGTATGTTTGCCTAGGAAAAGTAAAAGTATACTGATGTATCCAATTGTTTATTCAGTAATGAACATGGGAGACAATTTTAATGTAAAATACTATAAAGAACACACATGATACATTAATATGCAACCTTCCTTACTATGGACTGGCAATCAATCTTGAAGCATATAAAGTTATGTTCACCTATCTTGAGGTCACTTAAAAATACAATACTAAATTAGACAATGAAAAACAAATGATAAAAACATTGAAATATATTCATAAGTTGCCACATCCATGTGAGGGAGGCCCCAAGTATATTACAACTACCTTACTATTATTGACTACTGAAGATGGAAGATAATTTTGTCATTATATCAGAAAATATTTTCTGTATGTAGTTTGGACCCTTGTCATACAAAGCTGAAAACCAAGATTATTTTTTTTGTCTTATCACAATTCTTGTGGCACTCGATACTGTCCTCCATCACCTGACTACAAATTATTCTATACTGTACTTTGATGCCATGATCTAAGCATTCTGACAAATGATCTCTGATAAAATACTCTGAGATCTTTATCAGATCTCTGATCTATTGATAAAATTTCCAGTATAATTTCTTTTCCTTTGGGGGATAATCAAAATCTTTAAAAGGTTTCCATGTAGTAGTACATCACAATATAAAAATTGTGGTATGCATGAAATTCACCATCGGTAATACAGTACAGTAATAACTGTACAGCTATCCCCCAAAATTTCCCTAGTCCATACATTAGAATAATATAAATATTTTATACAATTGGCACAAGTGACCTAGAAAAATAATGTTCAATACTAACAGCAAATAGATTACAGTAGTACACTGAACACCAAGTAATACTGAACAGAACAATGATGCACCAGAAACTAAGGTCAAGTTCCAGCCACACAATATTACATTAAAGTTGACTGCAACTGAGATCCAGAGCCTGAAAGCAGTAAATTACTTTATACTACATATAAATGTGTATAAAATGGTCTGAAAGCAAATTCTTGAAAGAACTATTTCTGGAATGAATATATTTTGTAAAATACTAATGCATCTAAAGGACACTACATCAATATAAATTATCAAAACCTAAACATTGGTTTTCTTTGTCAAACTGTAAAGTTTAACTAGTTTTATGAACACGGATGCAAATTTTATTATAATTATATATTTGTATATAATTACATTATATAAAATTAGCGAAAATTAAATAATGATTGTAACCGTTCATTAAAAAAAGTAGAAAAATTGTGATATGCTATCTATTATGTATTGTACATTTATTTATCTGACAATTCTTGCACTGTAGTCCAAATTGCTATTCAAAACTAGGGTCAATGCTTGTACATTATGAATATGCTGCACAGAAACAAGCATTAATGAGGACAATATGTGGCTTTTGCAGGCTGTCAGCAACTACGCTATCCACTATTTCAACCTGCCACACATTAAAAAACAATTAGTATATATATATATATTATACGATAAATAAAGCCTATCCAAGCCACTGATATAATAATAGAAGAACAGACAAAGTGGATGTCATGTACAGTAAAATAGTTCATACTAAAAAATAAAGTTGTTGGCTGACCTGGATAAGTAAATAAACGCTAATCTTGGATAATACAGTCAAAGTACGGAACCGTCAAGTTTTATTAATATAATTTAAACATTAAGTATCCTACTCCATGAGCCTAGAAGAGCCTCTTCTCATGTGAAAATAAGCTGTGTACACTTCCTTCACGCTGAGCGGAAATTGTACGCTTCTCAAACTTGAGTTCACCTGCATACATCATGGATCTGTAAACAAACATGTCATGTAGTTATATCACAGTTGGAGATACGTTTCCTTGAGCGTAGTATGAAATAGATCCACTGACAATAAAACAAAAACAAAAAACTGGAAGAACGTGTGTTCCAGGAAACCAAAATTTTATAATGATTAAACAGAGAGCATCACCTGTCCAACAACAGGGAATTTTTTTTTTATTTTTATTTTTTTTTGCTTTATTTGTACACAGTACATTTATTTGTACTGTATATGTACTGTAAACAAATAAATGTACTTTGTATACAGTAATAAAGATTGCTTTATTTGTATACAGTACAGTTATGTACAGTATATAAAAGGAACAATTAAGTAAAACAAAACAAAAATATAACTATCAGATTGGTGGAATTGCCAGTGCTAGCTTGAAAGCGTCAGAAACAAAAGAGATTGCACTTTGAAAACACAACTATATATTACCTGTAAAATGGAATATCACAAGTACTGTACTTCATTGGCCATAACTGGCTGACATAATAGTGAAAGAAAATTACTTGTGTTGAATTATCCCTCGGTGAATGTTTTGCATACCTAGTACAGTACTGTACGTGAAAATAAAGGGAGTGCGACAGTCGGGTCCTGCATTAGTATAGGCCGCAATCAGATCACATATCTACTGAATATTACACCTATCAATTATGCCATATTATATAAACAAAACAAAAGTACAATCTAACATGGAGAGAATAGTGCATGATAAAATTTGCCATTGCACAAGTAGCTTATGCATGTACAAAAATCAATTTATGTGGCTTTCCATATACAGTATCTCAGAGAAAATGAGAAAGAAAAAAAATACAATAGAGTCCTAGTATCTAAGATGGGT